TCGATACCAACTTATGCTAAGTCAAAGTGTGACTGGTCCCGGTTGAGCAGGAAAGTCAAGAGGGAGCTTCTAAGCGATGGGGATGCGCATGTAATCCTGCCTGGGTGTCCGTAGCAACAGGTCGTGACAGTGATATGAAAGTTTTCTTCTTTCGGCGTCTGTTTTGGAGAGATGTTTAAATGAAGGAAACAGCAGTTCAGTATTACGCTTAAGGCTCGAAAGCTTTGTTTCGCAAACGAAACCAGCAGTGATGAAGTCTCTGAAAGGTTTTGGACGTATGCGAGGAAGGGTTAGCAAGTAAGCAAGGATATTAGTCCATAAGTCTAATTCCGAAGGTCTGAGTCGGAATGCGGGTTCGAGCTGTGGTAGCTCGAGTTCGAGTCCGACTCCAAGTCCACTTTTTGTGCATTCCAAGAATCCAAACCGGTCATCATTGCTGCATATGCGGCAAAAGCCAAGAAGTCAAGTCCGAGTGCAAGGACCTGGACATGGATTCCATGGCAAAGTCACAGTCATATGGCCCTGAGTCCGTATTTGATTTCAGGTTCGATCACTAATTGCATGGGTTGTGCACTATTCATTAAGTTCGTGCAAGGTGCTTGACCAAATGGGGGTTTCTCACTACATCACAGTATGACCACAACAGAACCTGCGATGCTTGGTTGCGACGACACGGGACTAGCAGGCTGACGAAAGAGGAAACGAACATTCCTGTGTGTAAGCACGTGGGTCGAGACGTACAGACGACCACGCGTGCACGCTTTTCGTGATCATCCTTGCACGCAAACCGCTGACCCGCCCTTTTGAGGGCGTTTTTAGGGAATGATCTCAGATCTAAGCAACCGCAACAGGTGATGACGCGAACCAACTGCACAGCGCAGCAAAAATTATCTGGCTAGAACTCACAACCGGATTTAAAAAAGTCCGACTCAGGGAAGCACCAGTAATGAAACAAGCAGCGGCCAATGTCACCTTATCCGAAACGAACTTCAAATGCCAAGACATGGTGGCCTAAGCCAAGGGATACTAGGCCATGCAAATTTGGCAGGCATGTAACCATCTGCGTTGTCACCACTGCACTCTCAAAATTTTGTGATCTTTGTGATATTTTGGTCGCAGGCGCCACACTGTAGGTCAGAACAAACCCATCAGTTTCGACGACTATGTAACCAGGCTTGTTTAGACTGAAAGCCTGCCAGCTTGCAAGTTATGTTATTTGTCGATCAGCGAGCTAAAGTTACACTACTGACGTTCGCCGGTTAAATACCCCTGAAAGGTACACTTTCTATGACATAATCAAGACCATTGGTATGGGTTTCCAACACGGTCTGGTTCCATAGCGCAAACCTGGGCATCATTCAGGTGACCAAATATGATACCTCCACGTCTGTCAGCACCTGGGTCGTCCCAGCCCGCTCAAGGCGTTGCACGGGCTGACGATTAAGCTTATTTGTACCGGGACGATATGCAGAATCCTCATCATTAGTGGCTACGTGACCTAAATAATATGCCATCGTTGTATTTATGCCGCAGCGGAACTTTTTTGCCCCGCCAAATCAGGACCACCCTCAGGGAAAAATCAGACCAGGGCCCAGCGTGGTCAGCCCAGCAGCCGAGCTGACCGGAGCCTGCGCAGGGGCTACCGACCAGCATCACCAGAGCGATGCTATGGTGCAGCGGTCAACTCCACCGGCGCCTGCGCAGCGACCAGTCTTACGAAATATGGCGCAGTGGCCGGTCCCGCCAGGCTAGCGCAGTGACCACCAGTGGCATTGCCGCTCGTCCAATCGGTTACACAGATAAGAGGGTCGCAACACCATAAAGGGTGCTAAAACTGCTAGCGCTTTGGTGGCCCGCTGATATTACTTCAGTCTGGGTAAAACCTTGCACGATTGACATTTGTACAAAGCAAGATTGAGCGAGATTGAGCAAAGCAAAAAGGCCCGGATGGTGGCGCCACAAACAGCATAACTGTGTGCAAAAACTTAACGTACACTTAAAGATCACAGTGACTTAAAACATGCTGCACAGGTCCTGGTGACTAAAGCTGGAAAACATTCACAAGGTTTTGTTTCATCGTTTTTACCTACGTTCTAGATTCCTTTTAAAACGTTTCGATCTCCCAAATTCCAAGCTTAAATGCATACTGAGCGCAAAAAATGCTGCCTTTATTTTAACTCTATCGACCTTAAAAAATAAAACTAACACAATTATTGTCACATGTGTTCTGTCTCTGCTCCCGTCATTCTGTCTTTCTACACACTGCAGCATCCGAACACATGGCGTTAAGATATATCAGACTCGCTATTTTCAGGTTTGCTATCTATTTCACATCCACTAGCGGTTTTGGACGACTCATTGGGTGGGCCGAATATCCTTCACCACGCATCCTTTCGTTTTGAACGGCCAGTGAATACGCCAAGTTCTGAAAACGTTGAGGACGTTTTATTACGTGTGTAAAAGGTCTGTTACAACGAGTAAGGCAATATATTTTTATTTCGAAGGGCTCAGAAACTGCAACCTGAAAACCCAGTTGCATGATTAATCACGACCAGCCACAGATCTGGATTATCCCCCCCCCCCTCCCCTGTGCGTGTCGTGGCACGAAGTGTTGACATTATGGCCTGGGAGAGAGCATGGAGAGGGTCAACCTGACGCCAGCCACGTGGTCAAGTCCACCAGCCCGCAGCCGACTGGGCCCGTGTTGTGCCTGACGTCAGGTCGTGGCGCTGGAGGCCTAGTGCCGGCCCGTGTCTCAGCATGGGTCCTCGGACGCCAACGAGGGCCGCCGTTCGAAACAATGCCGGCACGTTTTGTGAGCGGGCCACGGCCCGCGGCCGCCGCCGCGTTTTGCCGCACGAGCCCAAGTGGGCCGATCACGGCAACGCCTCTGCTTCCAGAGCAGCGCCGCGCCGCCGCCTCTATCAACCCCGACTGGATATTTGGATTAGCCGCCGTAAGTGAACGCAGACACAACGTCAGAAATGATGTACGACGGCCGGGCATGGGCGGCCCGCCGCCTCAGGCCCCCCGCCTCGAATAATGTGCTCCTTCGCTCGGTAGACTGGCCGCGTTCGGAGCCCGGATCGGCGCGGACGAAAAACACGCGGCGCGAGTACGCCGCTCAAATGACGTCTCTGGGCCATTCGTGACACGGCTGTCTGTGCAATCACACACGTACAGCACCTCTTGCAGCGAAACTCCGAAGGTCACTTTGCTGATTCATTATGCTGAAATGCGGCGATATCGAAGAGTCCCGAAATCGTGACGCTGGGGGTCGTTACTGATTAGGGGCTATCACTGCAAGCGTGTCTGCATGGTGTTGCAATAAGGATGTACATTTGAAGATGCGACAGGACTCATGCAAATGTGGTTGCAGGGTACACAGGAGTTGGTCACGTTAAGGCGTGTCTTACACTGCACATGCCGCAATATAGTGGTGGGCCTCATATTCAGTGAGAAATCTGACCCGGAAGTGGGCGGACGTATTTTAACTGCTTTGACAAGATCATGCCAAAGCATAGGATCGAGTCGAGATTGCTACTTACACGTTGACTAGTTGGACAAGTATTTCGTATTCCGGAATGCTCGCTATTCCTGATCCCAAGCGCGTCCGACAACAGTTCAGGCTCCAACCAAGGCAATTTTCTCCTGGATGACTGGCTTGCGGTTCCCGGAATCGCATTTTCGCTGACAAAATTACTTCCACACGGCCGCTCAGCCACGAACAACACGGCCCAGTCCAATTATGGCGCACCACCGTGCAGCGGAGTGTCGCCCGTCACGTGCCCTCGCAGACCCCACATCCGGACAGGCTGTGGGCGACTGCGTGTCCACACTGGACAGGCTCGATGTGCAGCTATTCACGACTCCGGTTGTGCGCGCAGAACTTCCAGCCTTCACGTGGCTCATACCGAGCAGCGGTTTCCCGTGTTGAATGCGGGCGACTGCGTGTACACACTGGACAGACTCAATGGGCAGCTATTCACGACTCCGGTTGTGCGCGCAGAACTTCAGGCCTTCACACGGCTCATACCGAGCAAAACTTTCCCGCGTTACTCACCCTGGACCTCAACAGGCACGGCCCTGATGCAATGGGAACGGCGACAGCCCAAAAAATATCGGGTTGGCTGCAAGCAATCATGTCATAAGTACTCGGCCAAAAATATTTGACCGCCTTCGTGCTCGCATTCAACTTGAAAAACCAGCGTCATGTGTTCAGCACGATTGTTCAATCCTCACAGCTTTAATTTCCCAAAGGTGCAGTTGCGGCTGTGGCCACTCACGTCTAGCATGCGCGAATAACCCAGCCGTCGGACGAAGCGCTCAAGACTGGGTGGCTAGCAGGTGTATCAAATCAAACAAAAAACAAATCACAATCACCTGCCGCTGGCCCCGCGTGCGGCCGCGGCCGGTCGGCCGAGGGGGAAGCCGGGTGCCGGGCCGTCCGGCGCCGCAGCCAGCCCAGCGTGCCGCTTCAGTCGGCCGGCACGCGCCGCCCGCGGAGGAGCGCCTGACGCGCGCTGTGAGCTACCCGGTGTGAAACAGCGGACAAAGTGAGAAAGAACGGCAGCGCGGCAGGAAGGACCGACGGACGACACTGTCGGGAGGACGGTGGTCTGCACACGGCGCGGGCTGATCAGCAGCGACGGTCTGCACACGGCGCGGGCTGATCAGCAGCGACGGTCTGCACACGGCGCGGGCTGATCAGCAGCGACAGTCTGATCGTCCGCGCCGCGACACTGCACGATCCGAATTCTAGCTGGACGCGGTCGGGGACAGTGAGGTGAAACGCATTGCTACCGGCGCATTGTCCCTCTTGGCAGTGCGGTGAGCCGTCTGCACGGGAAAAACAATCCGGTCCGTCCACAAACTCGACTGACGGGGACGGCCAGCGGTCCGCGACTCTTCGGCCGGTGACCCGTGCCGCGTTCTGCCGTGAGCTGCCGACCCCAGCGGCGCGGACAGGAGCGGCGGGCGGGCGGGCATGCGCGACGGGCATGGCCATGGCCCAGCGGCGTCTCATCCCCGGACGCGGCACTGCCAGCTCGGAGGGAGCCGCCGGGCGCGGACTGCTGCGCGCCGGCCCCTTTGACGACATCCCTGAGTGCCGCGAGCAGGAGGAGGAGGACCAGACGGCGGCGGACGCCGGCGACCAGTGCCACTCGCCCAGCTACCGCAGCCACGACTCGGGCTTCTCCGACTCGAGCGACGGCGGCCACGACGAGCGCCGGCTCGTCAGCCGCGTCTACGTCGACAGCACGGCCGAGGGTCCGGCCGCCGCCGAGCGTCAGCGGTACGCCGAGCAGACGCGCCGCGCCGGCCGCCGCCTCTACACCCGCGTCGGCGCCGACGTGACGCTCTCGCCGCTGCTGGCGCGCCGGCCGCACGTGCGCACCATCCGCGTGGAGAGCGCCGGCGACGGCGTCGTCTCGGTGGCGGTCGGCTCGCCGGCGCTGCGCCGCCGCTGGTCGCTGGTCGACGCGAGCGACGCGGGCGATGAGGAGGCGTCGCCGGCGGAGACGCGCGCCCTGCCGCGGCGCCACACCGTCGGCGGCTGTCGGCTGCAGCTCCGAGCCGCGGCTGGCAGGTGAGTGCGCGGCCGAATCAATGGCATCTGTCGGTGCCAGGGTGACGACCCTCTGGCATTACAACCTATGGCAACGCATCACTACTTGCGACAAACGTTGGAAACATTGGCATGGCAAAGCTATGCAAAGTATGATCTTTTTCTGGTAACAATCAGAGGCGCAGCCAGGATTTTCTTGAAAGAGGGGCCCGGAGCTCGCTGAATACGCATCACGCCGGTTCTTCACTTCCCATCGGGGGTCATATATGGTAAAACACGAAAACATCCGGGGCCCTCCCTGGGCTGCGTCCCTGGTAACGACATGAGTGTGGCGATGATTCCAGTGAATGTTGTGGCCGCTGCCATACCTGCCACACAAGGCTCAATCCATGCCGCTGACACCCTCATGACGTCGGCATGACTGCACGCTGGCGTGCACACAACATTTTCCAAGGCCAAGGCCAGGTGCAATGATCGTCAGTAAAAATCTGGCGCTATTTGCAGAAATCCGGAGTGAAATGTGGTACTTTTCCGTAAGCGGCCTACATGGTGCGTTTTTACTTCACCCAGCAACTATAAGACACACGATTCAGCGCTCCATTTCTTGTGAATGCATGACTGGGCATACAGACATACAGCCGCCATGTCAAACAAACTGGGCAGGCAGTGTGGTCATGAGACATCATTGTGAAAAGAGCTATTTGGGGGAAAACAGCTCAGAAATAGGCTCACCGTTACTTGCAATATGATCAACTTAATCTGTTGTATGAAAAAGGAACGCCTCTACATGTCATGCGTTTAAGCTACTTCTAAACTAGCATGTATTTGTGCAATGTAAAAAGGAAGCTGTCTGTGCTGCGGTGCTGAATTTTTAGCGTCCATTCGGGTACAATACACAAATTTTGAATCCAGTTTTCGAATTTAGTCACCTTCCACCTTGCTCACAGTTGCCTAATCCAGGTTCAATCCTGAAGAAAATAAACATTGTCTAACAGTCCGTATCAATCCATCAAAATTTGGCCTGGTCCAACACCATCAAAATTTGGCCTGGTCCAAAACAGCATGCCATGAGAATCATGTACGGGCGGCATGTTCTGATTGGCCGACAAACTTTTGCAGTCCTCAGTCCGTGTCAGCTCGCTCCGGCCGGTCAATGACGTGATGGATTCCATTTTCATCGCGTGTGTGGCAATCACTCGATCACATCCAGCGCAATCAACTGATTGACCGATAATCCTGAGGTTTGTCCTGTTCGGGAAATGTTCTTGCGTTTACGCCTGAAACCAAAGACCGAAGCATTGAGTCCCAATCTTCCATAACCAGTGCGGCGGTTGCTCGCGAATGTAGCGCTTTTCAGTAACATTTAATAGGCCCCGTGATTGGATAATAACAATCACGTTGCCTTCACCCGGCAAGCAGGCATTTGCATGCTAATTGCGTGCATCAAATAGGCAGTTTTTCCTAGATTTTAACCGATTTGCCTGATGACGCTTAATTCCAGAATTCAGGCCCTTGTGCTTCATCGATAGCTCCCACCTATTTGCATGCCTAAACGTTTTCTACTTCATAAACGCGAAGTGTATTGTTATGTGTCCACCAGAAGGAACCTAATAGTCCAATGGTAAGCAGTTGACGCGCCTCTTAGGAGGCGGTAAATACGTGAGTGGTTGAACGGTACGTACGGTACGGTACGTGAGTGGTTGAACACGTGGCCTTCCACGTGCTGGCACCCGGGCCCTATTCTCTGCTGCTGCTATGGACATCCTCCAGGCTCGGAGGTTCTCCTATAGGTTTCGGGACGTCCTGATCTTGTGAGGGCCTCTCTTTCTGGGCTTAGGGTGCCACTGAACTACGTTTGGCGAAGGCCTCTGCCTGAGCTTGTGAGGGCCTCTCTACCTGAGCTCAGGGTGCAACTGAATTACGTTTGGCGAATGGCTCTGCATGAGCTTAAGGGATCCCTGTTACTTGGGTTGAGGCACTCTTCCATGACCACGCTCCCCAAGTTCGTTGGCGCCATCCTAACTACATTTAGTCTTAGTTTAATCTTGACCTTGACCTTGACCTTCAGCTCGGGGCTACGACGTAGCTCAGCTCGATGGGACAGTGTGCATGCTCTCGGGGTTGCGGCTACCTCAGGCTAGGCGGGTTTAGTTAGTAGCTAGGTCCGATACGCCGTCCTCTTAGTTCTTTTCATGGTCCATAGATAAGACATTAGTAATGGCCTTATTCCTCGGAGAAAAACCAGGAGAATGGAGATATAGATGCGTTATTAACGTAGCTATATCTCCTTTCTCCTCGTTTTTCTTCGCAAACGCACTAACAACTTTTCATCGCCCCTTTACTTGAGTTTGGGACGCACCTCTAAATGCGTTACCGGTACTTTTCGCGTACGTTTCTTGACGTATCTCTGCTAAGAGTGTGGGACTCACCTCTACTTATGCCTTGGGCGCCCCTCCACCAACGTTTATCGGTGCCCCGTGCCTGGGCTTCTAGCCTACCCTCTACGGCGTTTTGAAGAGCGCCTATACTTATGCGTGTGGGCCCCTGTGCACCCATGGGCTTTAGGCACCCTAATAATTCGGTCTCTGGCGTCCCTCTGCCGGGCCATTATGGCGCTCCTATGCCAAGGCTAGGGGCGCCCTTTACCTAGGCTTGTTATATCCCTTGCCAGGGGTTGAAGACGCCCGTCACTACCTGCTTTAGTGTTAGGCATCGGACCTTCTTTGTTTAAGCCTGGGGCGCATCTTTACGGGATCCGGGCACGCCCTCTATCTACCGGTATCTACAGGTTTTGGAGCACCTGGCATCCCGATTTATGACATTTTCTCGTCAGAACTTAGAGTTTCTCGTTCATTTTGATTTGGGAGTACCGCTTGTACTTCGGTACGGTACGGTACGGTACGGAAGTACTTCTTGGGTTTTGTGGCGTCCAGCCTTTGGTTTTGTACAGGAGCGCCCTAAGCGGACAAAAGTGCGCCAAAATTTCGGGGCGCTAAAGGGGCGGCTCCAGCAGCTCCTTCGGTGTTTTGCTGGTTGCACGTGACAAATAGCCGCCTGGTTGCACCACACGGTGCCGCCACGTTGCACCATGCCGGTAACGGCGCCGGTGCAGTTACCGGTATTCTGACTTGAACATATCGGTGCTACTTTTGGACTACTTTTTCTAGTCCAGGAAATCCAACAAGCTGCTCACTTTTTGCCATGTCTGCCCCCCAACTTGGCGGCGCGAGCGGCCATGGGTGGCTTGCACCGATTTTGTCTGCAAGATCTGACATGGACGCGACAGTGCCCGCGCCAGCAAAGGGTGCCCCGCCGCTTGTGTGCCGCTGCTCCCCAGGGCAGCCTGTCGAGACGAGAGTTCTCTTCCGCGGGCAGACAACGGCCCAGTCACCAAAGCCGATCCAGTGCCACTATTCACTTATGTATAAAGGCTATCACGTTAAGTATTGTATAGTCCAGCTAAGTGTCATCACGCTAAGTTAGCCTGCATAGTTCAAAACATTGATGCAAGCTTGATTGAGCAATATCTTGAACTTTCACACGGGCGGTTTTTTTGACGCCGCAAAGCCATTTCGGGTGTTGCAGTTTCCCGCGATAGTGCCGATACGACGTCAGTCCGTATTTTAAAGCGTGCTGTATTCCCAGTGCGCTCGTCATTACAGGAAAGCCCCTCAATTTATGAGGCTATCGAAGCATCCATGTCAATAATAGACGCCTTGGCTATGGGTAGATGAATAGACCAAATGATAATACAAACCTGGAACAGCTTACGGCCAACACTTATAATCATGCTTATTTTTACATCACTTGTGTAGCTTTTTGACGCCCTCTTTGAAGTCAGCTTACGCAATATAGGTCGAAGCTGTGGATAACCTTGACAGTAACGAATTCAGTCTGGTGTCGGTACGACCACGTGACGACAAGGCGGCACGTTGCTGCCCGTGAACAATAAAGGGAACACGAGGCCAGGCCAAACATTAGTGATCTTCCAACCATGACTATGAACGGCGCAGTTCACGGCCGGTGCTGGCAAGTAACCAGGCTGACCCTTCCACACCCAGGCGGAGTTCGCGTCATTTATTCGAAGCTCACCGAAGTGAGCTGCTAAAGCACAGTTATATTGGATGGTGTCGTATGCAGCTAGTTCTGAAAGACACAAGGGGCTACCGTGCCGCGTGCGATTCCGGACAACCCTGGTGCCCAAGCGACAGCAGAAGAGTTTGCTGTCTAAGGCACCGGCACTTCATGCGGATCTCAGTGAAGAGCTGTCGATTGGCTGTCGTTTGACACCACAGGCCAAGAGAACTTCGAACAAAATGGGCGGCAGCTCCTGAACTCCTCGCGAAGTACGATCGCCTCGGCATCGCCGATCAGTCGGCGGCCGGCTTACTCCATGCTGCTCGGATTGCTTGCGGAACTATTACAAAAGAAGGGATCAGAGATCGAGTCGACCGCGGTAGCACTCGTTGACGGAGGGACGAAGGGGGGGGGGGGGCAGAAGCAGGTGGTAGCAAGTTTCGTGGCTAGGGGATACGATGGAATATCTAGATTTCTCTAGGATGAAAAGGCCGACCTAACCCTGGCAAAGAATGGCAACAAAAACCTAACGAGCATAGAGCTGCACTCGCAGTAATAATTGATCCAGGCCATCAATACGTGGACCACGTGCCACCAAAAAAGTGGAGGGGCAGGTGATGTCGCTACGGAACTGAGTGACGTCATCCATGGCAATGATGCCGACCTCATTTTGCTCGGTTCTGAACGAAGATATAAACGGAAGAATAGAGCCTGTTCATGTCAAGCCACTGCGGCAGCTAACGTGTGGCATTCATGCCAGCGAACTCAACGCGAGGCATGTTGTCACTTCACTGACTAACTAGTACTCTAAGTTTCGAAGAATAGGTACTATTAGGTACTTCCGAAGGATAGGTACCTCTTATATACTTCAGGCGCTGAACAGTGCGTAGTAGAGGATAAGCAGAGGATCTGCACACAATGACACATTGGATGGCGCATGGCGC